TGGTGACCGAGAGTTATGTGGATTCCCCTGCTTTTCACAGTTGTGAATGTGTGCGACCGCAGTGAAGGAAGCGTAAGTCTACGCGACCCTGTAACTAACAATCAGAACTGAGTGTACCTGATTTGAGGAACCCATTGGTCAAACGGTTTTGTAGTATTGTATAGCTGGTTGCAAAAGGCAGTCTGTCGGAGTGTGGCTCTTTGTAAGAGCCCTGAGTTGTGCCTTTAAACCATTATCCTGATCCCGAAGGCATTATCCGAAGCAGTGAACCCCCTATCCAAAAGCGTAAACCCTAAACCCTATCTTAAACCGTATTTAAGCCCCAAACACTATCCCTAAACCCTAAACCCTCAAATTTAAACCCTAAACCCCAGACCCGAAAGCCCAAACCCTAAACCCTAAACCCTATCCTAAACCGTATTTAAGCCCCAAACATTATCCCTAAACCCTAAACCCTCAAATTTAACCCTAAACCCCAGACCCGAAAGCCCAAACCCTAAACCCTATTCAACACACCACAGGAAGTAGACACAAATGAATTGCGTACATTCTGGATTCTGGAGTGGGTGTGCAATTAGCCTTTTTTTCAACAGCCCGCTGAAGGTTGAATCGCGCATGAACGTACAACGCATGGATGAATTGTGCAACATTTGGAAGCTTCGTGTTGTTGTTAACAGCCTGGCTGGCTCGAACTCTGCAGTTCTGGTGGAGTTAGCCACCTAAGTTCCCAAGACTATGGGCATCTTCGGTGCGGGCAAGGCACAGACTGCGAAATGCACAAGTGCTGCTGCTGTCCCAGAACCCCGCACCATGTGAGCTAGGTCAGCGTGGCTGCCGCCGCTGCCTCGTGCTGGCTGTGCCTGTCCATGGCTGCGCTGGGTGCAGGCTACGCAAAACTCCGAAAGCTGCCAGTCAGAAGCCAAAGCCCCGGACCTTCACATTACAAGGAATCGACTCAGATTGGCTTGCCTCACATACGACCCTTACCGCCGACCATAACCTTCAGCGAACCTGTTTCAGGCTAGGAAAAGGCTTGGGACGTATAGTAAGAGCCAGAAAATTGGAGGGATCCTGGCACTAATCCTCCTAAACTCTGTTCCAAATTTTCGGGATTCGCTGTAGGGTGTAGTTTCCTTTTTGTTTCTGGCAGTTTGTGCAGGCTACGGTGTGCCCGGGCGAGTGGCGCATGGGTCCCAGTGTCAAAGTTCTGGGCTTTGAGATGCCTTGAGTGTTTAGGATTGAGGATTTAGGGCTGACAGATCTGGGAGGGTTTGGGTTGTTGGGGTTCTTCAGTGTTGTCGGGCTTCTGGAGCGAGTCTGACGACCAAGACGATAGGTTCGGCATTTTGAAACTTTTAACCTGCAAGGTCCCTTCCTGGTTTAAAGGTTGAGTGACAGTATAGTCTATAGTCCAGGAACGAAGCTGCTGCTGAGGTTGCAACAACCGCAAGTTGCGCGCAGTCTTGGCTACTCGGGCAAGAAGGGCTTGACAGGCGCGCCGCAACGATTCATCACTTCCGATGCTTGTCTGCCCTTTCAGCAGCGTGTGTTGAGGCATAAGGTCCCTTCCCTAAATGATTCATCATCCGAATGAACTAATGGGCGTTGTGATAGCAGGTTTTGGGAGTCTCATGTTTTTGAATTGCGCTCCATGGCCTAGGGACTAGGGGCTTAGGTTTGAGGGTGTACGGGCTGCTTTCAATACTGAGACTCTTTGCCGTAAGGAACGAAGGCTGACGGTTGCTTCAGGTGTGGTGGAGCTGTTGGGTCCTGTGAGTTATTGGGTTCCCAACGTGGTGGGGATGATGTTCTGGGCGAAGGATGTGGCCACCGAGCGCTGGAAGCCTCACCCTGCGTGGCTAGCGCCACCTCCAACCAGATTGCTTCCCGCCCTAGCAGAGATAACGCTTGAGCATGAAGTCATCCAGAGGCGAGACTATTGGGGCAGCGTTATTTTGATGTCCCCGGTTATGATGGCCATCATCTGTGAGATGACTCGAGTACTCTTCCGCGCATGCAAACTGCGGTCAACGTCAAGCCATCGTGCGCTGCCAACGCAAGCTTTAGACGAAGGGGAGCCTTTGGCTGGCACTGGCAAGCCGGTCAATGCCTTCGCAGAGCATGGCACTTGCTTCAGCGTCGCTGTTGTCCTCTACCATTTTATTTGTGCTGGGCTGGTTCTCAGCGCCCTTCAGAACGGCTGGATATCGAGAGAGGGAGGGGGCAACTTTGCTTGGGAGCTGTGGGCTCTTTGGCAGCAGGTATGCCTGTGGACGCTCTTTTTTCAGAACCTCATCCGGTGCAGCATGCTCGATGCAGATGCTTTGCAGGCCAGCACTTGCAAGTCAGTGCTCCTGTACACTGTCCCACTGGTGAGCGAGCTGTGTGACAGTATGAAGGATTGGGTGATGACAGGGTTCTGCCTCCTCCAACCCATGTCCGAAACGGGCCTGGCGATCGGACTTACGTTAGTGATCTTGGAGCTTGCCGGCCTTGCAATCGATTGCCTTCCTCGGCCTCTTCGCATAACCGAGAAGATCTCCATCAGTCCACCCGTGGTGTTGCTTCAGGCCCTGTATGCCATAGTCATCCTCATGTGTTGCACAGCATCCGTAGCGTGCTGGGTGGTTTATGTGCTCTTCTTTGGATTGGTAAGATGGATCCTGCTTGGACTGCTCTCCATTCCGTGGTTGTTGGTGGCAGTCTGCTGGCACTTGTTCAATGTACTTGTCACCTGCGTTCTTGCACCTGTGGCTTTGGTAACGTGGCTGGAAACGGCAGTGTCCTCTCTGTTCGGACATGACGAGTGTTTCCATTGCTGGTATACCCCAGACGAGTGGATGGCTTATGCAGGCTCTTGTCTCAAAAGCTTCATGGAAAAGGCATACAGAGAGTTGTCTCATTATGAAAGCTTCTATCAATTCCAAGACCAGGTGACGTATTCTACACAGCAGTGCCTGATTGCTCTGTCGGATGGTGGATTGTTAGCCGTCGCTTCCATCTATGTGATTGTTTACTCCTACGTGCAGGTCAACTTGCATGAAGACTGTGCACCTCCGGAAAACATATAGGGCGATCCTGGAGTTGCCATTGAGGCCTCTGAGACATGTTTCCGAATCCGTCATGGAAAGGATTGAAAGAGAGGCCAGCAATTTGTGGGTGGACTTTCTCAGCAGCTCACGCTTGATGATTGCTTGGGCAGAAGACTGGCCTCAGGGATTTATTGGCCTCGTCTTGGTGCTCAGATACACGCTTCCAGATGAAGGGGTCAAGGGCATTGGCTTTGCAGGCATATCAGCAGCGATCAGCCTGTCGAAGGGACTTCTGATCCCGACGTTCCAGAAAGCCATGTTTGAGCGGCGTCGCCAAGAAGTGCAGCAAAGCTTGGAGCATCTTGTAGGTTCCGACAAGGCCCTTTCGGAGCTCACCGACAGGTTGCTGGAGGCCCCGGGAAGGATCCCTCGTGGTCAGATAAAGAAGTTGTCGCAAGAGGTGCTGGAGGAGCTTTCGGACGACGTCTTGAGGCGCTTCAATGTGGGAGAGCGTGAGCTCTTTCTTCCAATCATTTCAGAGCGTGACAGTTGGTTGAAGCAGTGCATGTCTGAGGACAGGTTCGACACTGTAGTAGCCAAGCTAGTTGCTATATATGTCAAAGGTGATGCCTCAGCAGCCGACCTCAAAGCCGCACAGTATTTAGCTGGAGATTGCAAAAGAGCTGGCTTCTCCTGCGAAGATTGCAAGAACGTCGGTTACAGTGCCGAGAGCTGCCGAAAAGGTGGCTTTTCATGTCCCGAGTGCCGAGCGGTGGGACTCGTCCAAACCGCCGGAGATTGTAAGGAAAGTGGCTTCACCTGTCCGGATTGCAAAGCAGCGGGCTTCTCGGCGACAGAATGCCGTGTCGCGAGCTTCTCTGTGAGAGAGTGCCGACATGCAGCCTTCACGCTTGGTGAGTGCAAAGCTGCGGGCTACTCTGCAGAGGAGTGCAAAGCTGCGGGTTGCTCTGCGGAGGAGTGCCAGCTTGCGGGATATTCAGCCAGAGAGCTGAAGCCAGTTGGCTTTTCGGCCGCTGACCTCAAAAAGGCGAACTTTCCGGCCGCCGAGCTCCGCAAAGCGGGCTTCAATGCGCGGGAATTCATGGATGCAGGGTACTCGGCCGCTGATTGCAAAGAGGCGGGATTCTCAACTTCTGAGTGTAGCGGTGTCTATCAGGACAAGGAGCTACAAAAAGCTGGTTTCACACGCGCGCTGTTGAGTCGTTTAGGACTTCGCCGTTCGCCGTAAGCATGAGCATCGGAAGATTGCCATGCCCGGACTTTGCGCCGGGAGCCCAAAGGGCCCCGTGCGAGCCTAGCCCCAAATCCGGACGAATGCTGGGAATGAGAATGAGAACACGCATGAATGTGTGGCACTTCAGGTTGTCAGCCTAGGATGGGCAATGTTCGTGATGAGCTCTGTGACTTCATTTCAAGTGGACATGCTGAACTCTCGGCTCCAGATGGTTGCGGGATAAGACTGGGAAAACAACGAAATGAACAGCCGGGCGAATCAATACAGCACCAGCTTCATTCCCGATTTATTCGACAGTGCTGGCCATCTGGATCATATCGTCCGACATGCTTGGTCGTGAGCCATTTGCCCGTGATGAGCCAGGCAGGGTCGAAGAGTCGCCAATTGCAGCATTTGGCAGTAACCGGCGCGTGACGCATGCCCAGGACAGTGACACAGCAGGTGACTTGCAGCAACATTTGGACGAGACATTGGCCAGGAGCGCAGAGGGCAGCTGGCACTTAGGTTACCTGGCTCGTTCGGAGCAAGCGACATGTGGTAGCCATTCTGAGTGTCTGTGGGAGGATCGAAAGCGATGTGACTTGCGTTGTGGCCGCTTAGTATGCACGGTTGGTCTTGTTGGGACATGGTGTGTGCAGTGATTGCTCTGCGCTCTCGCATTCAACGACGGAGGTGCGGAGTATCCGGGACTGCAACTTTTCCGTGGACGCCTCGGTTTTTCTCTTGGTAATACGTTTCAGCTTCATCGCCCAACCTAGGTGAGCATTGCTGATCCTGCACAGGCAAGACTCGTGGAGTAGAATGGATGCACAGTTAGGTTAAGACGAGCATCTTGCTTTTTCGTGTCGTCTTGGATGGCTTGATGCTGCTGTGGTGTATCCCAGACGTACGTTTGCCGATCCCATGCTAACTGCTGCGCAGCCCGACTGCCCGCTCATCTCCGTCTCGGAGGCGGGTTCGTAACCAGATTTGTGCTGCAGATTGCATCGCAGAGCATGGACCCACCACCATCGTTTCAGAGATCGGCGGGTTGTCACAACGGTCCTAGAGCCTAGAGCATGGGTCTGTGTTGCATGGAACTTTGTGTCATGACACTTGTATTTTCGTGGTTGATCTTTGCGTAGCCGGATCTCCACACATTGGCAAAGCTAAAATGTACGAGGTCCCCTGGGAGTCTAAACAGAGCACGTGCCTAGTACACTCAGGGGTTTTGCGAGCTGACGGGCTATGACCGCGAGACCATTCTTGGGCAACGACGGCATGAATTCTACACGTGGCTTCAGCTCAGTGGCACTTGGATCAGATTGGTGCCAGGCAGAATTGCCGTTTTTTGAACGACGGTTGTGACATCCAGCCCCGCCCTTGAGCCAATGACCTTCGTGAGGCACCCAATGCTGAAGCACTCTTGCAAAGCATCTAAGGCCCTCCGACCGGCAAGGTCTTCGTGTCTCCGCAAAGCCCGCTCCTAAATTTGCCTGAGTCTTCTATGACATTCAAGGTCGTGCTCACTGGGTTGTAAAGCATGTGGCTTCCTTTGAGCTGCCCACAGGACCGGCAAGCACTTCTGCGGAGTGCTGAAGAATCTCAAGGTGCTTTGAATGCTGTGTCGTGACCCTCAAGACATGACTTGAAGTGCTGGTTTCAGGCAGATGGTACGCCATTTCTAAACCTGCTGGACATGCCCATTGCCTGAGCGACCGTGTAGCGCCCGAGTGCAGTGTGAACTTGGCACCCCTCCAGATTTTGAGTCCCTCTGACTCTGTTCGGCTTGCCTGCCTGCCGCGGAAGGTCTGCAGACGATTGTCGCTTTGGGGTGCTAGTTTGTGCAGTATGAGGCGTGGCCTGTCGGTCGGCAGAACGAAAGATGGTGAGGACTGCAGTGTCTCTGCATTTTCTGATCGGACTTCAATGCATTTGTGTCAACAGGTCGAAAGCTCCAATTCATACATACGAGCGTGTTTCATGGTGGAAGGAGCGCTTCTTCATCGTCGGCATTCAGGTCTGGAGTCCTGGAGTCCTGGCCGAGGAGAGACCAGCTCGCCTGGAGTCGCGCTGAGGCAGACGTGAGCGAACAGGGATCCGAGGAGTTACCTCTGGAGCACAAGACCCAGATGCCACGGACTGAGCCTGCAATCAGGTGAAGTTGTGTCGTCTTAATTGGGGTCGCAGGCTTCTGCCAGCGTGAGCCTTCTTCTGAGTTTTTGTGTCAGGCAGTACATCGCCGCACTCGTCCGTGATGCAGGGAACTAAGCGCACAAATCATTAGTGCTCGTGGATCAGGCCGTTGCAACCTACTGCAGGAGCTGTCTTCCGGCTTGCAGCAAGAAGCCATCGTGACCGACTGGCTGGCCTGTTTTTGCGATGACAGTGTGGGTGCGAAGTGTCTGGAGAATTCAAGGCAAGCGCTGGAGACGATGTTTCAAGCCCCTGCCTGAGCACTCCAACTTTCCACCTTTGGGTACAAAGGGCTGCAATGCTTTTGTGAGATAGCATGCTGTGGCCTCAAAGGTGACATCACTCCATACGAGGAGCCCAGATGGATAGTAGGAGAGGCCGGATGCCGTAACGCAGTGGGTACCTCCGCATGGGACGCAGACAAATCGTCCAGTGCAGGTCTTCGAAACGCATGCCCTCGGTGGCTAGTCCAATTTTCGCGCGGAAAAGACGTGCAGCTGATACGACACCTTCAAGTCAGTTAAGCCTGAAACCGCAGTTCATGCGGTATGGTTGCAATAGGTCTCTCCAGCTCATTGTGGAAGTAGGCCTTGCGTGGAATGCACATGACCTGTAGTGACTTCATCTGAATGCCACAATCTTGCACGTTTGACGTTCATGCATGCATGCATGCATGTGCACCACCTGTGCTTTCTCTGCTCGCAATGGGCTCGAGGATACATGCTCCAATTGCTGTCGACAGACGCCAACTGACATCTGTACGATCGAATCTAAACCGCGGCATCGAAAGTTTTCCCCGTTCAAAATTATTCAGCAGTTCACTTTCAGGTGTTTGACCTGAAGGCTTTTGATGTCCAATGCTCTCCACTTCACTGTAAAATCTGACGTAAACTTTCTCCACAAAGTCTCCGGTTTACGCATATGACTGTCGCTGCCATACAAGATGGTTTAGTACTCAGCCTGCTGGAGGCCAGCCATGTCGGAGGAACCTGGACACTTGGAAGCTGGACCCGAGTGCGATGGGCTGGAAGTCTCTGCAGGCCATTCAAGCGGTTCCGGCACCTCTGTGCAAGCTTACTCTCGAGCCTCCGCCACTAAGTCTTGGTTGGAAGCAAACAGCCTGCTGGACGGAAGGGGTTGCGTTGCCTTGGTCAGTGATGAAGCGATGCTCCTTCACGCCGGCCCAACCAATCACCCTGAACGGCCCGCGAGGCTTGCAGAAATACTGAAGCAGCTTGACTTGTCAGGCTTGCAATCGACATGTACACAAGTTGCATCCCGAGAAGCAACCAAAGAGGAGTTGCTGAGGGTTCACACGGAGAATCACATCGAGCTTGTATCCAAGTCTTCTTCAGTTCCAAAGAAGAAGGGCAAAGACTGGGGATTGCTGCCTGGCTTGATGGCCTCAGTCTTGCATTCTCGGTCCTTCAGAGGTTCGGTCTAACTCTAACGGTTAGGTCTTTTCAGGCTCATAGACTTTTGCCAGCTTGGGCCTTTTGAGCTGTCAGGCCATTCGGTCCTGATACCTACGCGAACGAGCACACGCCGCACTGTACATTTCTCTCTGCTGGTTGCTTGTTAGCCTTGGTCGACCACTGCTTGAGAGACACTGCCAGTGAGCGATGCGGCATGGCTATGATACGTCCTCCGGGCCACCATGCCAGTGCCGAGAAGGCATCTGGCTTCTGCATGTTCAACAACATAGCGGTGGCTGCGCGACATGCCCAGCGTGAGCATGGACTTCAGCGTGTCGCCATCCTTGATTGGGACGTGCACCACGGAAACGGAACAAATGACGTATTCGCGGACGACGACAGCGTCCTCTTTTTCAGCCTGCACAGATACGATAGTACGTTTTTTCCCGGCACAGGGTATGCCGAAGATGTCGGAAAGTCCAGTGCCAGAGGGTACAACGTGAACGTGCCTTTGGACAAGGGCTTTGGGGACCTCGATGTAGCATATGTCATGCGCTGCAGCCTAAGTCCTGTGACGCGGTCGTAGGCTCACGTGTGGTCGTGGCAGCCTGAGGCTATTTGATCTGTCCAGTTATCGAGAAGTTTAACCCGGAAGCCATCTTCATCTCTGCTGGATTCGATGCAGTGTGGACCTCATCCGATCAAGTACGAGGTTTCAGTTCGACCCCTGCCAGCTTGACACCCCTGGCTTCAAGCCCCAAGTTGAGATTGGGCACGGGGTTCTTTGCAATTGTACTGCCCAGGTTTGACCGCGTCTTTTGTAGCTCGTAGACCCCGTCTCGAGGGTCACCAGTTCTAGAACCCTTCACACCTCGCTCTTACGTTGAATCGCCCAGACCGAAGTTGCTCTCGGAATCAGCAGAATCCTAATCTCCCACGCTGAAATCCGAAGCTTTTGGAAACCCAAGTCTCAGCCCTCAGATGCTCGGATTCCAGCCCATTCGACTTGAACTGTCCGGGCGAGTATCTGAACGAGCATTCTTCATCAAGTTGCTGGAGTGTTGAAGCAGTCCAGTGGCATCGGGGAAGTTGGCAGAACTGGAAATGCCTGCACTAAGTGTGGTCTCCGAGCGCAGGAACTATCGGTCGCGATGTGGTTTACTGTACTGTTGGTACCATCAGGGAGTTTTGTTCGACATGATTGCGGTTCCCGATGGTCTTTCACGAGGGACGTGCTCGGAGTTCAGACCCCGGTCCCTGCTCCTGCGAGCACTGGCAAACCTTGTGTCACTCGTCTATGCAAGACCTGTTACGCATTTACTGCTGCTTGCCGCCGCAACTCAAAGTCGAAGACGACGAAGACGACGAAGTCGAGGATGAGGAAGCACGAGGCAAGGACGAGGAGGAGGAGGAAAAGAAGGGGCAAGGGCGAGTCCACGACCACTGCAACGAAGACGGCGATGACGGACGACGACGACGACGACGACGCCATGATGGCTACCGCAGATGAAGCATGCACGGTTCGCCATAGCCGTCCTTTGCCAGTGCTTCCTGTTGGTTGTGCGCAGCTGTACCAAAGGTCCACGGGGATCCCCTCGGAGGGTGTCGTGTCAGCCCGGAAGGGTTTGGATGGACCGCACATGATATTTCGGCTTGAGGTTCACGCCTTCGGTCTAGAAGGAACATGGCCAGACGACGCTCTTCTGCAGGATGACTCGTTGCCTATACCGCTTGGCCAGGCACTATTGCAAGGCACGGGTCTGAGCATCGAATTAAGCTGGGACACAACTTGCCGAAGCTTTTGCAGGGCCGTCTTTTCCTGGCCCTTGAGGGCGGCTACAGCCCAGATTTGATCGCGCAGCTTGGCTCTGGGTGGCTTTGTAACTTCTGCAGATGTTAGCCGGGTCTTTACTGCTTCAGTTTGACGTTCAGGCTCATGTGAATAAGTGATGATGGTGATTACGATGATGATGATCAGTATTTTCCCTAGGCTCTAGTTGTCATGGCAGTTCTGACGCTAAGGATGATGGTGAAGAAGAAGGTCGGAACATGGTGCTGTTCATGACGACTGTACAGCGTCTGCTTCTGTCGATCTGATCATGATATGATAACGAGAATGACGATGACGATGCTAAGAGATGGCGACGACGAGAACGAACATGCTGGATAATTGGAGCACGCCGCGCTGAAAATTTCACTTCTGGTCCCCATTCCCGATGATGATGGTGGTGATGAAAAGAGTGAAGCAAGAGGGGCATGGGCATTGGAATTAACACTATTGCGTTTGTTGTCAACATAGTCTTGGTCGTCGATGTTGTGGTGGCTGAAGCTGTCCGGCATTGTGCAAACTGATCAAGGCAGTGCACAGTGGAGCTGCGGCCTCAACATTTTGGTGAGAGTCACTGGGTGCTTCGCCTGAGCAGACGTCTGAGAGGTGCGTTCGCACCCTCCTGGAAGAGGTCCATGATCTTGCAGGATTCCGCAGATGGGGGCCAGAGAGAATGCGACAGGGAGCAGCTGTGAGTGAGCTGAGATTTCCTTTGTTGATGCGGGCAGTGCAGTCATCCTTAACACAGGCCCAGATAGTTTCCATGGGGACCTTGCTACAAGCGGACGGTTTCTGAGATTTGCTGTTTACTTTGGCATGAGAATCACGAGAGCCTACGCTGAGCCGAATTAAGTTTCGGTCCATGCCTGCTGCCTCAGTATGGCCCCACAGCCAAAGACCTTTTGCCTGTCGGCGCTGGTTTTTCTCGCTCTCATGACTCACAGGGGTGTGCTGTCCGTCTGAACTTCCTGAAGCTGCCCTGACCCCACAGAAAGCTTGGCCAGACTCTGAGAGGCCCCGAGAGTCGTGTCGGGAAGCCTTGCCCAAAGAGTAGTGAGCAAGCTTGAGCAGCATGTCGACCGACGAGAACCGATTCCGACAACCGATTCGATCGTTTGGCTTTGGAGTGTAGTATCGCAGCCCTAAGCATGAGAGAAAACCTGTCTGACCTTGTACTTTCCACGGAAAGCCCCAAAAAGAACCATGGGACCATATGATTGTGGCTGCCCGGTTCCTGGTTTCAGATCTGGACAAGAGGACCAGATGCGGACGACTTCATACCTCCGGCTCCATCCCCAAGCTGCAGCCTTCCCGGGACGTCGGAAGCTGACAGTCCTGACCGTCTCTCGACACTTCGGGCTCGGGCTCGAGCTGCCGAGGCCTGCGATGATGCCGGCACCTCCGGCACGGTGTAGCAGCTGGCATTGAGATCAAGGGGCATCCAGGACTTTCGTACCCAAGTTGCATGTCAGGTTTCGCCAATGCTTTGTGCCATGGGTACTTCGGAGGCAATGTCAGCAGTGCTGTCCCGGAGTTTTCAAGGGTGGATCACGCCAGTGCTGGAAAGCACAGTGGGTGCCACCTCCGCCTGACACGTCGAGTGCAGGCTTCGCGGACATCGACCCCCTCTTTCAGACCCGACGGCGCGGGCGCGAGCAACATGACTGCAGCCCTAGAAGGAATGGAATTTGGCAGGCACGCCACCTGCTTCCCCATCAATGAGCAGCAAGAAGGCCATTCCTGTAAAGTGCGAGGAGAACTAAGCTTGTGCTCTGTTTCGTGCAAGGCTCGTGGTCCCGCCAACAAGACAGTTCGAGTGGTGAGGCCCGAGGGAACAGTCAGGCTAGTTGAGGACTCGTTGATTCCTCCCATGACCTGCAGCCTCCAGGACCGAAGTGTAATCTTCTACACAATGCATGGCAATGCATGGCATCTGGTCCATGACACCTTACAGTCGGACCTGGTTTTCAGATTGTAGCATACTAAGAGTGCCATGATCCTGCATGCCGAACGGTACAAAATCTCAAGCCAAAACACACAGTATCGCTCGAGATTCGCTTGAATCCCAAAGCCAAAGCGAATTGCCATGGCGGAACTGGCGGCAGACCTCCTCCGGAGCAAGTATGAAGTTGGAGAACTGCTTGGTGAAGGCGAGGACTCTGCAGAAGCAATGGAGGATGCCTGTATGTAAGGAGAGAGGAATATCCCACAATAAACCGTCCTCTCAAGTGTTCAAGACTTGCAGCTTCTTTTTCTACACCGCTACCACTCTCGGACGGCAGACGTGCCGTGCAACCATTTTAGTTACAGGTGATTCACGCGGCATTTTGCTTCGTGGATAAGATGAAGCAGCTGCAGGTTTCAGCGGCTTCGTCTACGCTTGCAGCCGATGTCAGCAAGGCGAAGCTTTGGCCGCTAAGGCGCCTTTGACATCTCTGGCTGCAGGAGATCTTGGTTTTGATTGTCTGTCTTGGGAAGGTCTGTGCAGATCGGCCCGGTGCAGTGAAAGAAACCCGCGATGAAGCCATGCTGCTGCGCAGCATGTGCCACAGCCCTTTGCCTGCAACGAAGATGTTCACGCTTCATGTGACCACCGGTTTGTTGGAAAGCCGAGGCTCTGTAGTGAAGATTCATGACTTTTTTGACAATGGCACATCCGTGTACTTTGTCATGGATCGGATGCACCAAGATCTCCTCGATGGACACTTTAGTGCTTTAGTGGTGTCTTAGTGTGGCAGTTCTGTTGACGCATTGCTGTTTCATCCCTTCGTACCGGGCCGAAGCGGACTTTGCACCCCGAGTGACATCCAATGCAGGACTTCAGAGCTATGTTATGAGGCTGGCAGAGCACTTGTTGTCTTGAAGTTGTCCTGGCGATGCGTGCTGGCGTGTCAGGGAAAAGGTAGACATGAACGGCTTGGTGCACATCGTTCGGCAAATGGTGGGTGCAGTGCAGTATCTCCACACCCTGGGGATCGTCCATCGTGGCCCGGACGCTGAAGGGCTTTTGCTTTTTACTGCAAGCGTTGGGATCTTGGTGGGAGTTCTCGGTCCGGTCACCCGAGGCGACGTGAAACCAGAGAACTTTTTGATCGACTGCGAACAGCTCACCGAAGCTCAGAGAAGTGGAGAAGTTCGATGATGTGTGATGTGTCATACACATTCCTCTTCTTTAAGAAGAGCTTTCTTTAGCCCAGGACCCTTCTTGCAGGGTGGTCCTGGCCGACCTTGGATCAGCCTGCAAGGTGACGGACAAGAACCAGCGATTGTCTGAACAGGCCAAGCTATGTGTGGGAGTGGTGTAGAGGACTCGGGACCCCAAGTACTGTGAGGTTGGAACGACAGCTTACTGGTCTCCGGAGATGTATGTCGCCTGGCCTTAGCTCGACATTGGCAGAGTGCCTGCTCCCTGTGCTTAGTACTTAGGACAAGGACTATGGTCTGAAGGTGGACACCTGGGCCCTGGGCATTTGCTTGCACTGCATGGCCACAAGCTCAAGCTTTGTTCCCGTGTTCCGGTCTGCTAAAACTCACACCTGGTTGTTTCGACCTGAGGCCAGCAACACGTTCCCCTTTGTAGACGAGCATGAGGTTCGCTCAAAGACTTTCCGCCTTCGTCGGGTTAGCCGATCCTGCTCCTGGGATGATACTTACGGGGAAGGAAGCTCCTGATCAAGATCTGCACTTGTGATGCTGTGGTGTGCTGGCTGAGGCAACAGATTGGTCCAGGCCATGCTTCACAAGGCTGCCCGATGAAGACTAGTCGGTATGCACGGGGTCAAGCCCCATCGCGCTGAAGCCTTGGTCTCCCTGGCATCCAGCAATGTTTCGTGCGACTGGGCAGGTGGAGGCAAGGCGGCCAAGCCTTGACGAAGTACAGCACCACCCGTGGCTGACCGGCAAAGATGATCCGGAGGATCACGAGCAGGCATTGCCTGGCTTGAGTTACCTGAGCCTTTCGCGTCGTTCGGCGATCAAAGCCAGCCAGGATGAATGCGGCTGGAATCCCACCGGATGGTTGAACGTGCTGGGGGCTTACACCTCTTGCATCTTCCTTCTTCGAAACAGAGGTGCTTCTGCACTTGTGGCTAGAGTGCATCTGCACCACGGGATAGGGGCCCTGCGGGGCCCTCGATGGCTCTCTTAAGGTTGGCAAAGCCTTATGAGCAGTGGCCTGTGCCACGCAAGCCCGGTCGCAGAGCATGGCCGCGCGCGGCGCTGCCGTTAATCTGTGCCTTCTTTTTGACGGGGCTGGTCTTCAAGCCTCAATCTCCCAGCCAGAGTCTCAGACCGTGTTCCAGAGTGAGAGGCTCAGAGGGACAGGCGAGTTTGAGAGCCTACAGGCTGGGATGCTCCAGCTGCTCAATGGACACCTGTCTGTGGGGTAGCCGGAATCCCACAGCCTTCTATCAGGCACGTAATCCGTGGTTCCTTTTCGAACTGCGCCCAAGCAGTGTTCAACATGGCCATGCCGTGATGGTTTTGGATTGTGGGCATGCTGCTGGCGAAAGAGCTTTGCAGTCATGTGGCGCAGCATCCGTACAGACATGCCGTGGCAATGCCAGAGCCAAAAACCTGTTTTGAGTAGACTCAGACAAGTAACGGGATACTGATTGCACAAACCGTTGCATGCTTGGAGTGAGTTCTGGCCGCAGCCACAGCTGACAATCTCAGTGTCTTCCGCACTCTTGCTGTGCTTGAGCACGCTATGTCGTGTGGTTGGAAGCTTCAGAAACCAGGACCCAATCTTTTGTGCGCTGGTTCTGAGATCCAGCTGAAAGCAGGGTGTGTTTCACAGTGATTCGCAACGGGAATCACGCACTATTCTTTTGATATGTTGCCAGGCGCCAGCAGACACATGAATCGGTTTTGCCGAACCTTGCGCTATATGCAAGTTCTCGATGTGTCTCCGCTTGCGATCTGCCCCAAATTACACCCTCAAGTTTGTACAACAGAAAGTTTGAGAGACGCGGTGGAGTGTCCGTTTTGAGGGCAGCCTCGGAAGGCAAGCTTTTCTGTGGCGTGCCGCTTGAACTACTTGAAGTGGTACAGGGGCCACGGCTTTGCCACAATCTTCGCGACACTGTACCCACACAGGGGAGAGGCGGAATTGCGAAAGTTTGCAGCCACCTTTGGCACTTTTTGCACTTTTGTGCAGTGTCGCACCGTCTTGTGCTTTGCAAGATTCAATCCTAAATCGGTGCTTGGATGGGGACGCTCCAGGCTGCTCTCAGAGACACCAAAAAGGTTTCGAGCTCGTCATCAATCGTGTCATATGTCTAATCGGCAGTAAGCCTTGCAGTCTTGTTGCCTGCTTGTTTTTGAGGGGTTGTGTGGTAGGATGGATGGCTTGACATGAACAGCCGTCACAGCAGACCGCGGCATCCTTGATGTGCAGGAAGGCGAGCGAGCTGCTCCATCTGCTGAGATTGGAGGTGCCTTTGGCGCCACAAGGGGATGGCCTAAGTCTCAGATCCGGAGCTGCCGCCGAAGTCAGTGCAGTGCAGACCTCTCGACACCTTCAGGTGCCAGCAAGAGTGCCAAAAGAAACGAGCCACTTGTTGCACGAAGCTCCGCGTTTGGGTTTCCGAAGCCTGATTTTTCTGCTTACTGCAAAGTGCAGGCGCCGCAAGCAGCGCAAGAACAGTGGCGAGGAGGACCACCCGTTGTTGGCCAAGATCTCCCCACAACCACCTGCCATAGGGAGTGCATTAATAGCGTTTTATCAAGGGTCAGAGAGATCGACAAGTTTAGGGTTTAAGGCTTCAAGGGTTCAAAATCTTCGTTTTGCGGCCTTCTGACGGCAGGATGCTGGTGCATCTAGTGACTCATCTGGATGGGCCATTGTGTCCGCAGCCTCGATGCGGGAGTGAAAACTTCACACAGATTTCTTGTAATGCCTTGGCTGAAGGTGCGGAGGTGAGGCTGAGTTTGCCTTCAGTCCTGCTTTCAGGCCCCGGCATTTGCGGAAAGCCAAAGCTTTCCTTGCTGGTTTGTCTCCCGTCAAGCCCAGTTTGCCCCATGGTGATCTCAAGCCGGCAAACTACGAATGCTATCGAATGCTAGTGCTTCATTGTGCGAACAGATATCAGCCACCGCGAATCTCTGTCGCAAAGCTTCTGTTTCTTTGTGCAAATTCCTCTGCAGGCCCAGCAGGCAAGTCTCTGGTGGATCACACGCATCCTATGTGTTCGGAGCTCAGCTGTTTTGATGAGCAATCCTGCGACTTGTCGCCTCTGCCGAGGCCGGACTTGGAGCTTCCACCCGCAGTGCCAGAGACTGAAAAGCCCAAGAAGCTGGTCCAACCAGAGGTGCACCAAAGCAGAAACACCCCGGTGCTCATCCCTTTCGGCCACCGCAGAGTTGCCCAGAGTTGCAGGCTAGCGACAACGCCACTGCAACCACAGCCGCTCAACCTACACAATCCCCTGCTGTTGGCCCTTCCAAGCAGCCACTTGTCGAAAAGATACTCAGTCAATGCTTCGCTCCTAGGAACATGTTGCGTTCCAGGAAGAAGAAGTCGAAAAGGAAGTAGCCAACTTCGCCGGCTTCTGCTTCGGATCCCTCCGCAAGTGGGCAAAAGGTTTGTCAGAATCCGATCTTGCAGCCTCCTGCAGACTTTGGCATGTGTTGTTTTGTCTCTGAGCACTTCTGGCCATGCCGGTGTCTTTGCGCCCAAGCTCTGGCGGAGCAGGGAAGGTGTCGTTTCTGGTTCGTGCTGGTTGTGTGTGCATGTGGAAGGTGTGCCCTTTTTGAGAGCACCGCCTAGATGCAACTGCAGACCAAGAGCCATCACATAGCATCCAAGCATTTCAAAATCCCGGGAAATTCGCTGGTGCTTGTCTGCTTGCACCTGAAAAGCGGTGGACAGCCAGACACTGTCCAAGTGCTTCGGTTGCACCCATTCCGGATGCTACCTTGAACAGTCGAAAGAGCCTTTGGACTTGAGGCCACCAGCTCATTACCATGGCCATGGACCGGAAGCGCATGAGCATCGGGAATATCACAGCCCCTGTCGTGGGCACAAGATCGAGCGGGACTACCGAAAGGGAGGCGCCTCGCAAGCCTTTGCAGTTTGGTCTTGAGTGACAGCAACGGCCTGACACTTCTGGCAGACCGGCATTGCAGAGGCCCCGAACTTACCCATCCATCTGCATCGCAGAGCCAAGAAAGGATCACCGAGTCAGCTTCTGCTCCTGGAGGTTTTTGAGCGAGCGAGAGAAGAGAAGACTCGAGCAGTCTATGCCTGTGCCTTAAGGCGTTGCCGGCGTGGCAAGTGCCCTTGTAGGCTTGGTCGGTTTAAGGTGACCTCCATCACCGACAGGGACTTGCAAGGCCGCCAGAGCTTCGCCGAGAAGGACGCGGAAGGGGGGGGGCTCCGGGCTGGGGCGATAGCACGCGACCCTCGCTGCGGGAGGACCGAATCGTACTGGTGCCTCCAGGCAGCGATGAACAGGCACTCCGGGTCGTGGCTTCTGTCAGGCCACAGCTTTGCTTGGAGTCCTGTCAGGAGATGGAAGACTGGGTGAAAGCCACAGTTGGCTACGGCTGCAGAAAGGGCTTGAAGCCAGAGAGCCCTAACCAGGACCAACGCTGTCCTCTGCTGCATTTGAGGGCAACACGCAGTGGAGCATGTGTTTGCTCTCGTCAGGACAGTTTTTCCTTGGTTGTGGTGGAGAATGATTTTGCATCCTGCCTGCAATACTTAGGAACGTGTCACGTGTTCGCCCAAGACCGCTGTGCTGCCGAGGCCATGTACGGAGTTTATGATGGCCATGGTCCAGCAGGTCACGAC